GTGCCGGTGCCGGTGCCTGCGGAGCGGAGCGGGGCGGCGCGGGGGTCGCTCCCGGGCACCCCCGGCCGAAAGGCGGCTGCCAGCCCGGCGGTGTTCAACCCGGGGGCCATGCGGGAGGAAAGCGTGAGCGTGCGGCAGCCGGGAGGTGGCCAAGCGGGGCGCCCGGCCTCGGGGCAGGCACGCCAGCCATTAGCGAAGCCGCTTCGGAGCCGCATGCTTAGCGGCAACTTCAGCCTTTTTTTTTTTTGTATTCGGCTTTCGCTGGTGTCTGGGCAGCGCAGGCTGCGGCGTGCGTCGTACGGCACCCGTGCCTCTTCAGGCAGAGGCTGCCGTTCCCCGTAGCCTGCAGCTATTATTATATTGATCAGAATACTTGCTGTGCACTTCAGCCTCGCGGCTAACTACTCGTTTTGCCACCACCCCAGTACTTTGGCACATCCTCCGTTTCATAAGCACGGCTTATAAATTTCCTCATAACCCGTGGCACAGCGTCTAGCCTGATGCTGTACTTGAGTGTCTTCAACCGGAGATTGTAGTTTGGTCCAGCCTAGAGCAATTATTACATTGATCGGGCTACTTGACGGCAGGTTTAATTTTCAGCTGGATCTCTTGGCTATGTGCACAGCTTGCTGTCACCAAGATCTCCTGGGGTAGTTTACCAGAAGTGCCTGCAACCTGCAATTCACAGATAGTTTTAATGAAAGCGGCCAGGCTGGTGAGACTTTGGGAGGTCCCGAATACTGAAGAGCTGAGGAAGGCAGCTGGCTGGAAATGGAGCTGTGCATTTATTTGATCGTTCCCAATAGGGTTAAAACGCATACTCCTGCTGCCTGTATATATCTCTCTTCACAAATGAGATTACTGAGAATAAACACACTTTAATCCTTTTAAGTGACTGAAAATATAAATAACATCTGCGATTCCCAGAGGAACATCAGGATTGGGTTCTCGGAACAAGTCATTAGTTTAATGTGGGACAATAGGCGTATTCCTAGTGCTAATGTGTGAATGCCCCGAAGAAACATACAGAGTGTCTGCTGGTGATATTGTTACAGTATTCCTAGTGCTGCTTTTGTCTGCCTAGACATTAATATTTAGTGCAGAGAGAGGCTGTGATTGGTTTCCTTCCACAGATCAGACCAGTTCTGGGTGTAATTTACTTGAGCCAGCTCTTAGGCAGTGTAGTGAGGGTCCTGCCTTGGCCCTTTAAGGTCAAATGTTGGTACCAGAATAAGTTTCCCCATTGATGTTTATTTATTGTATGCGGTTTGAGGGACGTTAGCTGCCTGTCTTTATAGTTTGCTTCATCTTTTTTTATACACTTGCAATCTTGCTGGAAAACAATGAGATTTTCGCTAGTGATATGCGTTATATTTTAGTGCTTGTAAATAGAAAGCACTCCTTACATAAAGCATTAGATGCTGTATACATCCTCACGTGTACTACCTTTTCTTTCTTTTCTCTTTGCTCTCTCTCCCTCCCATCAAGGGGAGGCTGTTCATAAGCCTGTTCTTATTGTTATAGAGAGAGGCTGTTAAACTGCTCTCAAAACAAATGCTAAACCACTACTTGTCTGGTCGTTAGCAGATGGTAATGTATTTAAAGGTTGATTGGCTTCCCCTCACCTCTTCTGCCTTATCCTAACTCCTTTTAGAAAGAAACAATTAGCTGTGTCCTGTAGCCAGGGTTAACTGGATCCCAGGGACAAAACAAAGTAGCTGTGGCTTCAGTTTTTTGTCATCACAAAGAAGTGCGCTAAACCTTGCGCAGCAGCCCTCTGCTTCCTCAAGGGTGTTCATCATACACTGTTTTCTTCTAACTTTATTGATCTGGTAATACAGAACTTCATCCAAGACTTTGGGAGTTATGTTTCCCAATGTTTTATGTGGCGGGTGCCCCTGTAATGGTTTTACTGGTCTGTTTTGCAGACTCAGTGGCATATGGCATGAGAAAGTGTGGGACCTTGACTGTACATATGTACATCTTTGTGTGTGCACCTGAAGACATTCTTCTGCTGTTTGTGTGCTTGGATTTGCTGTTCTTTGTTTTTTTTGTAGTTCCAGTCTGGCCCATCTCAGAGGACGGTTGAGTTGCAGAGTCCCACAGGCTTGTGTTTTAGCAGGCGTAGCTTTGCGGAACATAAAAGGACGATGTTGTTGTACCCAGCTGCTGTTCTTGCTGTCGGTTTGCCAGTTCCAGGATGAATTCCTTGGCCTCCTGCTTTCCCTGCAGCCCCCAACCCGGTTTGCTTATTTGTGTCTGTAAAGAACATGAGAAAGAGCTGTTCTTACATATGCTGGTGCACAGGGGGCTGTTGTTCTGTTTGACCCTTTGCACTGCTTCCCAAGGAGGGATGCTCTGCATGTTTTCGTTCCCACCCTTTGTATAACAACTCAGAACTGCAACCCTTTATGGTCATTAAAAAAACCCCACCACTGTCTCCTGGGGCTAGCGTGGTCATGGAGCACCGCTTTTTATGAACACTGACATGGCTGAATGATGCGCCATGTATTGCTCCCAGCCATCCTCCATCTTCTAACCCAAGTCAGCAGGTACCGCTTGCAGCTGGGAGAGTAAAGGGAAGCTTTGGGGCTGGTCTGGAGTAAATTTAACTGGGGTCCAGCCCAGGCCTTAAGGCTCAGCCACCTCTAAACCTGTAGCAAGATACCTTAAGCACTCTGCTGCGGCATCCTCTGCTATAATAAACAGGTGGGGACCTGACCTGAAGAGTCGTCTCATTGTCTGTGATGTGGCTGAACACTGTTATAGCAACTGAGGGCACTGAAGAGGACACTGCAGTGTGCACAGCTAGACTAGTCTATTGCTCAGATGACTTCTGTAGGCAAGGGTGTCTCGAAAGCCTGAGGTTTGCAAGACTCTTTAAGCTTAACGTACTTAATAACTGTTTAATGACTGAGGGTTTTTTCGTGATGACTATGTCAGGGAGTATATGCAAGTTCTTGTGGCGTCATCTTAAATTTGGGCTTGCCAGTAACAAAGGCTTGCCAGCCTTCCATCTCAAAGGGAGAAAGATTTGATCTCGCTGAGTTGTTATAACCTGTAATGTACCAGCTCCCAAGTACCAACTCCCAAGAAGACTGTTCTTGTTTCCTACCATGAGATGGATGGAAATTTTCAATTTCTGTAAGGAACAACTTTTCTGACTCATCTCTAAGGTTGCTGGAATCACTGGGGTGTGTTCAGCTGAGTGTGTACTTTAGAGGGCAGTTTGAAGTTTTAAGGATTGAACAGAGTGAGACACTTCAAATATGTCAATATCCAGGCAGACGATGCAAGGCATACCTCCTGGTCTAATCCTCATCGAGGATGGGAGTTTGAACAAGTAATCTCCAAGAGACCAAATCTTAGCATCTCTGGATCTCTAATCCCTTCCCATTGTCTACAACATTTCTTTCAGAATTGTCGTCCTTTTCTGCAAAAGCTTTTATTTCTTGGCCATTAGCCACATTTCCTTCTCTGGATATTAATCTAATCTAGTCTTTGGAGTATCCTCTGACTGGTCTCTATTCAAACATACCATCTTGCCTCGCGGTGGTTGCATTCAACGTTTGGCAGCCTCTGGAAGGACACAGTGATCATCACATCCACTGTTACTTCTCCAGGCCTGCCTGGATCCCTTAGACCATTTCCTTCAGGCCACTGGGCCACCTCTCTTGGACAGCTGAAGCAGAACGTTGCCAAAGCAGAACATAATCTCCCTCATTCACATCTGATGACACTACCCATCTTTTAAATCGTGGGATTCATTTTAGGGAAAGAGTAGGGAGAAGAAGAGATTGATTTGTGAAGGTCTTTCAGAGCAAGAAGCAGTGGGAAATGGGGATCTGGAGAAAGGATGTAAATGGGGAACAGTATGACTGGAGCAACGTGATGGTGTCAGTCTTAACTGATGTATCTTTTTAGTGGAGTGGGTGAAAGGGATTGTGGCAAGGGGGGAGGCATGATACTTTTGTTAGACAGGCTGTCATGGAAGTTAGGGTGGCAAATGATGAAAGGCCTGGAGAAGGGTTACTGGGACAGAAAGAGGATGAATCCTCATGATATAGCTAAAACAGATGTAGAAAGGTGTAAGTATGGTCTGGATTTCTTAGGAATAGGAAAAGAAAGGAGTAATGACCTTTGTACCGTGCTCTGTCACCTTATCTGGGACTGTGCATGATCCTTGGATTAGTGGGAACTCTCCCCTGTCACACAGAAGCAGTTTTAGCTTTTAGGATCATAACATAACATCTGGGAGGGGCCTTCAGACCATGTCTATTTGTCCTAGAAGTGCTGTGTAGTAAGGGTTACTTTCATTTAACCCATTCTGTTTCTATGCTTGTACCAATGACACTGCTTTGATGTTGGGTAACGGCACCCTCTGCGGAACTGTATGTGACCTTTTAGGAGAATGGTACTGTCTTGCATAAGCTGGTGATAGTCAGCTGCTAAATGGTGTTGTAAAAAAGGGTTACAGCTCTGCCTTTTCTAGGTGTTATCTTTTGTTTAATAATCCAAGGGGAAAAAATCTGATTGCTTTTTGATATTTTTTGTTTGTTTGTGTCTTAACTATAAAGGATGTTTTTAGGACTTCTGCTCATTGCGCTTTATTACTGATGAATAAAAGGTGTTAAAAAACATACTCCTGTGACTGCCACACAAACAACATAAGTGTATCTGGTGCATGTGGACTGATGTCAGGGAGAATAAGTATTTGCCCAACACTTTGTGATCCTATCTTCCAGCTTTTAGGAAGGAGAGAATAAATGCCTGCCAGCCCTTCCTCTTAGCAGTCCTTTATAATGAAATATAGTCTGTCATAATTTTGAGGGATTTTGTAAACTTTTCCCCAAAGTCTTAGGAAAACTTGGTGAACTGAGTGGGCTAAATGCATATTACTGCCATG